TTCTAGCTGAGGGAGAAGTCACAGGCTGGGGTCCTCTCTCCCAGCACTGATGTGAATGAAGCAAATTTGCTTGCTGTTCTCTATACCTCACACAGATTTTCCGGGCTTTCTGTTTGCCTACTGCAGTTCAACTTCTTAACTGGATTCTGGAATTCTCATAAAGATATTTGAGTCTTTGTACTGTTAAAGCCATGCTTTTGTGTAGGAACAAGGGCTAGGACTCTTATTCTACCATCTTATGATGTCATTACTTAGCAACTCAATTTTTAACTGAAGGAGAGTACTTACAAATGATGAAATCAAACGCACTGGGCATTTGCAATGATGTGGTAAAAATACACTGGTTATGTGAGTCTTCTAAACTCTGATTGATTCTTAGTATAAAATACCAGGGAATATGCTTATGTGAACAGGATACAGGGATATTAATGATCACACTCATTTGTATCTGGCTTTCAATTTTGGAGTTGAGGATATAATGAGTTTTTCCTATTTCTAATTAAGTTTTCAGGTTTCCTGAGTCAGCTTTATCTTCAATACTGAAGAATCCTTGGACAAATGAACTCTGAGGCACAGTTAACTTAAGCTACTTTATGAAATTCTTCTGTGGGAACCAAGGAAATGGCAGATAATGGCAAATAAAAAGGCAGATGATACTTGTACCACATCTTTACTACTGATACCGTGCTAAGAAAAGTGGAAAGAAAGGAAGTTGGAAAAAAATGTGATGGGTCCTTTTTTGTGTTTAATATCTTCAAAGTGTTGGATGGCTAACTAGCCAACATGAGTCCACCATTCTTGGTCACTTATAAACTCTCAATGAGGGGTGCAGGGATCTTTTTTACTTGAGTCTTGCTGAATCCACATAGTTCAAATTCATTCTTTGTTATAGATATCTTCCTTATGATTCTCTTCTTAGCAGAAGCTTATGACTCTTTGGATTGAATTCCAAATTCCTGATAATTTCTCCATTCAAATTATAAATACGTATTGGCTCCGTGTTCTTTTCTTTTACTTGCTGCAATCTCAAATACAAAAATTTGCCAATCTCAAGACAATACAGTTTGACATAATATGAAATTAGGTCACATCAGAAATCAGACTTCAATCACTGCAGCTCTTTCATCATGCCCTTGCCGCTACTACTGCGTGTACTCTTTGATTTTACATGAGTTCTTCTAACTCATCAGTCAACTCGACCTTTGTTTTTTTTGTTCTATGTAGTTAGAATTCATAATGGATTATTTAATCCCTCAGTATTCAAAGTAGGCTCTGTGGCCATGCTGCATGGGCATTATATGGTAACTTGTTAGAAATCAGAATCTCAGGCTCCACCCTATTTGCATTTTTGAATCACTGTAATAAGATTTCTAGGAGATTTGTATGCACATGATGGCTGAGCAAAGCCCTAATTTCAAAAGAATTTTGTAACACATTTCTTTGACTGTTACACATTTCTATCATTTTGCTGCCATTACTAACCAAGTCAGTCCTGATATGGCTCTATGTCACCCTGATGTTACATCTTTATATTTATCTCCACTTCAAAAGTCTTTTGTGAGCAGATATATCTTCCTCATCTTAGCAAGATCTTTTAAAGCAGCATATGTTAGCAAAACAATTAATATTGTTTGATGTTCTTCAATTTAATTCCTACCAAGGTCATGAACCAATTACTAAGGTGTTAATGACATAGCAGAATCAATGATCTATTTCTTCTAAGATATGTGCATCCTGAAGGCAATAGATATAATCTAAATTGTTAATAATGTAGAGACCATTAATTCTGATATACCAACTTCACTGGATTAAGAAGTGCCTAGCAGATGAGCAGTATGCACTCTTGGGTATATCTGGATAGGTCATAGAGGCATTGCCTTAGGTACTAAGTATGCTATTTCACCTGTTCCTCTCAGGTGCTGTTCCCCAGCTCTTCTCCCTGAGCCACCATGAATAAAAGTTTTATTCCACCATGTTCTTCTGCCATAATCTTCCTGCTTGGAGCTAGCTAATCATGGACTGAGTCCCACAAACCATGAGCTAAATAAGATCTTTCCTCCTTTAAATTGCGAGGGTTGGGTATTGTCTTAGAGAAGGAAAATCTGATTAATACAAATGTGAAAACTAGAAGTTTTCAAAAGTTGACCATGAGTGGAAGTAATTTGGGTGGCAAGTGACTTTTTGTCTTCCTATTTTCCTGTACCTTGCCTATCACCAAGGTAATAGATGTATTGAGAGTTTGTGGCTTGGATGAATGTCTTTCTAGTATTCTTCCTGAAGGAGTACCTTCAGTATTTCCAAATGTGGCCAGAAACTACAGGGCTCAGAAGAGACCTAGACTTAAATTTATGAAACCAGGGAAAAAGTAGTTGGAGGGATTAGCAAGACTATCAGATTGTATTTTCTTGTAAATTGCTTTTTTTAGTCACCTGTCTTCTTCATTGGACTATAAATTGCCAGACTAGGGATATCTATTTTATGCACACAGGACTCCCAGCCAGGAACCTTGTACCCAAACACGTTTCATGAATTGGGGAGAATAATGATTTTAAATCATTCTCCTGGCAGGACTAAAACAGTGGCATGTCTGCAGCACATAATCTGACAGGGTCAGTAGCTCAGATTCCAACAACAGTGTATTTGTGAATTTCTGAAAGCCACGACCTGAGAAAACAATCACTATTAGTCGTCAGCTTTCAGTGAGCCACATCCAGGTTACAAATGCTTGTTAATACCCAACTCCATCAGAGAAATTAAGCAACTGTGACATTACCTTATAGACTGCTTTGTCAAGAGCCTGCCCTTCCCCGCATAATGACTAAGTGCTTCACAAGTGCTTTCTCTTCTTTATAGAGTGATAGAACATTAGCTGCAGATTTAATGTCACCATGGTTATAATTTGCATGTGGATGAAAAGTTAACATAATGTAGAAATGTGAAATTAAACTGGTTGATTGTGAGCAGCAGCTCTGCTAAGATCAATTTCTCTATCCTCATTATTTCACCTTTTGGCTTATTGTGTTTGTTGCTTTCTTTCATTACTCACAAAATTGCAAAATAAGTCCCCAAGGATGCACTATCAAAGGGCTGCTGGAAAATGGTGTTTGGACAGTTTACATAATGGGAGGTAGGAAGCCAATATGTTCTGCATTGTACAAAAGCCATTGCTCTCTCACTGTTAACTGACCCACAGCTTCAGAAGAGAGAGTGCTTTAGAAGCACAACAGAGTAAGGAAAGAAATTTTTGGGGAACTGACTTGTAGGTTTTATTTCAGCTTAAGTGATGCTTGTAAGAATAAAGAATAACTAATGAGACTTTTGTAACACTGAACCAACAGTGAGAACTATTTTGGTAAAAATAAACAACATATGGGCTGGGAATTTGGCTCAGTGGTTCTGCTGCCTGCCTCACAAGCACAAGGGCCCGAGTTTGATCCCCAGTACCAAAAAAAAAAAAAAAAAAAAAAAAAA